GTAGGTACACACAAGGTTACACGAATCAGGCGCCAATCGAGTGAAGAAGGAGATGAAGAAAGTGAATGAAAAAAGAAGAGTTTATGTCACACCAGCCCGGCCTATTATGACGGAATGGAGTGAAGCCGAAAACAGATCGCGCCGTAAGGCTTACTTTAACGTTCTCGTGGCAGTCCTTCCAACGCAGCCAGTCGACAAAGATGGCGGCTCTGTCGGTTTGGCTGGTGGGCAGTCGCAAGAGTGTCTGCGGAGCAGCGAGGAAAGATGCCAAAACTCCGTTGATCGCTTCGTCTGCCAGCAAAAAGGAGAAGAGACAGGTCGGTTAGAGCAGTCGGAAACAAGAGTTCAATTCTTCTTTGCATTAATGCAGAATAATGGTGAAATTGTGACGAGACATTATTTTTAAGAAATGAAAAAAAGTGGGTTTCGAACAGTTCGTGAGTGCTAAATGGTGAAAGCATTTCCCATTTGGAAGGAGCCAGTTGACTGGAAGTCGTTTGTGCAATGGCCCCACCGGCCTCAACCCTTTCCCTTTTCACACCGAGGCATGACTTGCTTGGCGTCCTCCAACGGACTCGACCTGCCTGTGGACGAGTGAAGTGGATTGATGGACCGGAAGAGGACGCGGAAGATGCTCCGAGGCGTCTGCTGCCGTCCATTGTGCGCATGCCGTGCTCATGTCATGCCAGCTCTCATAGCTCCTCCCACTCACCCTCTCCCGCTCCCTCCACGTAGCTCCATCCCACAACCACAACCACAACCACAACAACTGACTTGCAGCTCTGTCGATTTGTACACGCCGCCCACTCCCTCACGTTGATCTCCGCTCCTCGTGATCGGGAAAAGTGAACTTCGCAACAGTCCTTGCATGTCCTTACATTCCTCTTTAGACGTTCGCTCACGTCCCACTTTGTCAGCATGTCAGCAAACTGTTTCGCTCCCCTCTCCCGTTTCCTACCATTGAAATGCAATCGTCTCTTAATCCCACTGCCCAATTGTGTCTTGGCAACACATACCTCCT